CTGCGTAATTTGATAGATATTCTTAATTTTATGTAGGTATGTGCCAAAAATGAGTCAGGTCCATTGTAAATGTGCCAAAAATTACATTTTTATCTCGACTGTTAATATGAATATTACTTCCTTAGGAAGCATTTTAAAATCGACATAAAATCGTTTCTAGAAATCGACGTTTTCATTTGACAGAATAATTTCGTAATAGAAAACCGTTGGTTTTTGGACCATTTATATTTAAGACTGATCGTTGCATAAAATATTAATACTTACATAGGAAAATTCCAGAAATTTTAAATAAAAATCTTTCTAACTTTGCAAATTTAAACAAAATAAAATAATTATTATTTTGCTATGAAAACCGTTTGCATAATTACTTACACATTCCGTGTTTGAACAATCAATCATTATTGGCAACTTTACCTGACGTGAATAAATAATGTCAATTATAGACCCGTTGTACCTTTGCTACATTTAACTATTCCACATAAAAACCGGATGTTAAAAAACGGAACGACATATTTTATTTATTTAATACTAAAGTTGGAATTAAATAAATTAATGACTTAAAATATGCACCTAATTTGTTCTATGTCAGCCGATAGATTTTCTGTAATAGTTCGTTTTCTATCGATCATGCGTTAGCCACATTTGTAGAGGACACTGCAATACTAGCTACAGAAAAAATCACGAAGAACCTGCCATAAAAATCCAATTAACCAGATTTATGTAAATATGGACTAAAAGAAAGTACAGTAGAACTCCAATTATCCGAATTAATGGGGACCGGGACCCATTCGGATAATCAAATATTCGGATAATCGGATTTTTTTTAAAAAAATTGCCATTGGAGAGAATAAAAGCTACGTTTTGATATTGCACTATTTTTTTATTGAATTAAATGAAAGAAACATGAAATTTTCACATGTTTTAAATATAAATAAAATGTACTTATGTACAAGTTTAGAAATAAAAATCATCAAGTTAAGACAAGTCAAGTCAAGACTTGACGCGCATTTGTGATTCGGATAATCGGCGATTCGGATAGTCGGAGTTCGGATAATTGGAGTTCTACTGTACATCAAATTGAATGAGACAAAGTCCATTCACGTCAACTTTACAAATAAACGGAAGCATTACATTACAATCGGAATAAAAGATGCTAAGATCATATTTGATGATTCAGCAAGATACCTGGGAATGACTCCGCTGAAGAGTACACCTCAAAAATATATGCAAAAAAATGTACTTAGTAACAGAAAGAAATTTCAAGCTCTCTTTATACAACAAGAAGACTTGACATAGCTAAGTAATAAAACAAATGACCTTAGCCTGAGTACCAGGCCTCGAAAGGCATTGTGCAAAGAGACTCAAGAATGGTGGAACAACTATTCAGGCTAAAGAGTTCATTAAGGAACCGCCGTACAAGTTCACGAAAAACCTACTGGATTAAAAACGACATATCCTCAGGATAACAGTAGGTCTTCTAATCTGACATTGTCGCCTAAGAAGGCACATGAGTTTCATTAATCCAGCATAAGAAGCAAGATTGTACAGGTTCTGTAAAGAATAAGAGGAAACATCAATTCACACCCTGTGCCAGTGTGAAAGCCTGTCTAGATTAAGGTTTCTAACATTGAATGTACCTTCATGCTAGAGCCACTGTCAAAGCTACTAAGTCTAATAAAACAGACCAAGCTAGACGACGTACTCAATAACGGAGTCCCACAAAAGATCTGAAAAAGTCACGGTGGACAAGGAGAAATAATGTATGACTCCTTTCAAATCTAATATATAACAAATAGCTTCTCTATAAACAAATCCTAAAACCCGTCTGGACATAATATGATACCGTTATTTGGGACTGTGCCAGCAAAAGAACATCAACAACAACTGTTGAATAAGACTTTAGTTTCAAAAATTTCAAAATCGTAGTCAATTAGTTTAGAATTAAATTACCCATTGATCGTTTTTAATGATCAGATTGTAATTAGTAAAATACCCTGCAAAGGGCGTCAAAGGTGATCAAGCTGCTAAGCCTTATCCGGAACATTGTCCCAGCTTCTTAAATATTTAACTGTAAAGGGCCATAGACGTTCGGTTAAAATGAATGATTTGACTATACAGTTTTACATAATATGTACATTGTACGTATACAATAGGTTGGTTACATTTATAATTTATAAAACTGTGCAGTAGACCGGATATAAAATGAAAATGCCTATTAATAAAACTGAGCAAACTAAACTGTGTAGTTAAAACATAGCGTATGTAGACAACGTTTTAAATTTTCTTACAGCGTTGATGGAGCTTACTTATTTTTGAACTTGTAAAATCCTAACTCACCGTCTTGTTAAATCATGGCGGTGAAACTACGTTTAGTAGACAGAAGAATTTATTGAAATTTATGTATAATTATCTATAGACATATAATATGTATCATTATATGAATATTTAACCATTACCTGCATCATTATCTGTATCATTATATGTATCATTATCTGTATCATTATCTGTATCATTATATGTATCATTATCTGTATCATTATCCGTATCATTATCCGTATTATTATCTGTATCATTATCCGTATTATTATCTGTATCATTATCTGCATCATTATCTGTGTCATTATCTGTATCATTATCTGTTTAATTTTCTGTGTAATGAATTATCAGTATCATTATACATTACATGTACTATGATCTGTACCATTATCTGTGACATTATCGACCAGAACAAGATTATACATCAAGAGCTTTGTTGTTCTGAAAATGTTTATTCTAAATTAATTTTTTGATGGTTACAACCTTGTCTCCGGACAGGTATTCAATTATCTGTATCATTAACTATATCGTTTAATGTATCATTGTCTGTACAATTATCTGTATCATCGGGTCGGTGGTGTAGCAGTCTCACGCGCTTATATTCATTTATAGGCAAGTTTATGGTTCGAATCGCAGGGCAGACCATGTGGATTTTTAATTAAATTGCATGGTTCGGTATAGGATTTGATGTGTGCCGTATTAATAGAAATTCAATTTCTGTTAATATGACATGCCGATTATAAAATCGCCATGCATTACCGTCTCGATGATGGTGGGTGAGGTTTTCCGGGTTTTCCTCACCTGTAAGTCAAATGGCACCATCACTCATCTTAAAGTCGCCACAGAGCGCCACGGCAAATAATAATAATAACCGTCCCTTTCCCCGCACAAGCTCAGCTTTTGGGGTTAAAATTAGGGTGAATTAGGAAGAGTATTATTATTATTATTATTATTGTCTGCAACATTATCTGTCTTATTATTCAGACTATACAGCTAAATAGCTGTTTTAACTTATCATATGTAGCCCGTTTGAGTACGGTTTACTTGATCTGCATCATTATCTGTATCATTATCCGTATCATCTGTATCATTATCTATATCATTATTCGTCTGTATCATTATCCGTCTGTATCATTATCCGTATCATTACGACTGTGCAGCCAAATAGTTGTTTTAACTTAACGTATGTAGCCCGCTCGAATACAGTTTATCTTATTATTTATTCATTGGGTTTATGAACTCCTCGCATGTTTGTTAGATTGATTCGATCATTAATTTTTGAATGACTTCGCTGCATTTCCATATTTAATTGGAATTCCTGTCAGCTCCTTGTTATAAACTATTACGTTTTAAAAACGGGGATTTTAGAATTTTTTATTGAGAGAGACTAACAAAAATTGGAAAATTATTTTACGAGAGGATAAATTTAAGGTATTTTAGTATTTAAATAAACACTTAATTCCATTATTTTTAATTTTCAGTTAGATGATGAAGAAGTACGCACAGAAATAAACCGTAAAAGTAGAAGCCAAAGGCTGTTATCGATAGCTTTACAGTAAAGACAAAGTGAGCAACAAAATAACAATGCTGAAATTAAGGCTACATAAAAGCTACAAAGATGTCAGCCGAGCTAAATCATCAGTCACAAGACCTGTTGAGATTTGGTTGCGTTCTGTTGACTATAAAGACTTTTCACGTATATTTGATTACAAAAATGAATTGGCCATAACGAAGACATGCATTTCAAACAAAGGTTTCTAGATTACTTATAAGAAGAAAATGTTTCAAAAGGTTTTAATACTGATTATGATTCTGATGACAGCGTCAAAGATAAAGATAATACACCCTCTAGTGTTTCATCTGCAGATTCTAGTGATATTATTCCTGTAGTTAATATAAACAATACTCATCTTGAAAATAAAGAGAAAGTCAACTTAAATTATTGTGATAATAATATGCCACTTTTAAAAGCTATTCTAGAAGAAATTCTCATATACTGCTTATAAAGGTATTTAAAATTTGTTAAAAGTTATCTTCTTTAAAAGGCAGCAACTACAAAGTAACAACTACGATTAGTGCAGTATTTTTCCTAAGGATTAGTGCAGTATCTACCAAACGTACTGCAGCATTATTGTTAAGGAGTGAATTAATATCACAATTATAATTTATTTAGCAACTGTTTTTTCGTAATTTTGAATTTATTTTGTTTATAATTCTCATTACATTACTATAAAACATATTTTTTGTATAATGTGAATACATAAACAATGGACGATGATGACTTATAGTAGGGCTAGTCGAAAAGACAATTTGCGCTTTTTTCTTAAAATTATGTAACAATGACATAGTGCGTTATCTGTTAGAAGGACAGAGTTGGTCATGATATTTTTATTTTGTTCTTTTAATTCACTACAATAACAAGAAACGTTTATTTGAATAATATTTTTTGTTTTAATGAAAGTTTAGCTTATTGATTATGAACAACTATTTTTTTATAAAACAAATTCCTGATACTTTTTCAATATTGTTGTTTATTTTAAATCGTAGTACGCTAGGTTTACCGCGAAGGGAAAGTAAAATATATAAAAGTATAATTTACAATCAACCCCATAAATTCACTTAAATTCCTGTCAATATACTATTTATTCTACAATATTTTTTGTCTTAAGAAAATAAATATTTACCTTGGGTCATTTTGCTTTCGTGGGAGGTGTTGGCAGGCTCGTCGTCGATTGGTAGAAGGGTGGAGGTGCGAGGACTCAGTACTCCATGGCTATGTTGTTGCACCTGGTGGGAGACATCTGTAGAGGTCGGATGTATGCTGCCATAGTCGACAAACTTGGGCTCTAATATCATTCTGCAAAGAATAAGATTGTTAAGTCTTTAATTATTTTAGTAAAAGTTGTTATCTTATCTAATCGACAATTTTTATATACTTTTTTAATACTTTTATCTAAATGATGCTGTTTTAAATTACCTGCAACTTTGAGATATTTATTTTATTTTTAGTAACATTTAGACCGACACAGAATGTAGTTTTACGAATGAACATTTTTGGAGCCGTTACAATTTGGGTACATTACTAAAATGGAGAAATCCATTTTTAGGAATCGAAAAAATATGTATATTTCAATTTCATGGCAGATATGACCTTGTTGTTTAGTGTTTTCATAAATACTGTTTTGCGAATTTTTAACGATGGAACAACATAAAACGCAGTAATATAATGAGTAATGACAACTTAGTAATTATTTTGGCCAGCAAAATACTATATGATTAGTAGGTAATTATAACTTATATAAGGTGAAACTATACAGAGCTCCTTTAGACTAGATTCACACTATGGTGCCTTTAATTAAATCTCCTCGTATTCGCATTGCTGTTCAGATTCCGGTAGTACTTTCATCAATTTAACAAGGTAATTTTTATTGCAGAGCCTGATAAATTCTTGCTTTCTTAATTAAAAACGAAACCCTTCAATTACAAAAGTGTGACGAAATTTTGGTTCCACTGACAGTTAATTATAACCAAACTTTTAACAATAGTTGACTAATAAAATATTACTGTTTTTATTTTATTATTAAATATCATTTGCAGGTCATAAAAAGTAGTTTAAAGGTATGTAACTGGTTGCTAAAGCTAAATGAATATACAGTGTGAAACATCCAAATGGAATAAATTCGGAAATAAATAAATGGGGGCATGTTTGGAAAAACGTTATGTACACGTCGATTAGTATTTTTAGTTGCGCATTTTTTAACAAAAACTTTTTATACAGGGTGGGTCATGTAACAGTGGCCAATACCAACTTTCTTATTTTAAGTGCAACACTTTGTATATTTTCAATTTTTGGATTCTTCAGAAAATTCTAGACATATTTTATGTACTATGTCCTATACCTAACTGTTTCGGAAATATTAAATGTTTTTCGATTTATTGCAAAAATTAACATTAACAAAATAAATTCGCTACAACACACTCTCAATACTTACTTCCCATTTCAGCGTTCCTTTTTACTGATATGAAATTAAAAAAAACTATACTTAAATAGTTTTGATCACTTTTGTTTAAAACGCCTGACCTTAGCAAATTGTTATCTGACTGCATGACATTAGTTGTCAGTGTTATAGTCGTTTGAATTTACTTAACTGCAAATCAGAAAAATGGTTCATTTAACAGAAATGCACAAAATAACAATTCTACAGATAATTGATTATGGAAATAACACACGGACACAAATAGAGGTTGCTCGCTTATTTCATGAAAAATTTCCAAATTGGCCCGTATATCCCAAGGGACAATCAGTAAAATAGAGAAGCAGTTTCGCGAGTTTGGACATGTAAGGCAGATAAAAAAAAAACAGCTGCCAATGTAATAACTAACGATACCAAATTGGATATTATGCTCGAGTTTCAGGAAAATCCACATACTTCTAGTCGACAAGCAGTCCCAATGTTCGATATTAGCCATTCATCGATTATTCGAACATTAAAAAAAAAATAAAATGCATCTGTATAAAATAATAGCAACTCAGAACACTCAACTCATGGAAGACGATTTTGATAGAACGCAATTTTGTGAACAAATGATGGCAATGTAAGATAATATCGTGATCCAATTAGAACATGTTTTCTTTTCTGATGAGTGTACCTTTACACTTCACGGTCATGCTAATCGTCAAAATCGCCGCTACTGGTTTAGGGAAAATCCTCACTGGATGAGAGAAGAACATACGCAATACCCTGAAAAGGTAAATTTTGGGAAGGAATTGTTGGCGATCATATCATAGGTCCCTTTTTCATTGATGGAAATGTGAATGGCGATAATTATATAGCTCTAAAATAATGTCGTGCCATCTTTAACGATCCAGCAAACCCACAAGTTCCAGGGAATATGATATGGTTTCAGCAAGATGGGAATGTCCGGCAGTACCTCAATCGAGTGATTACAAATCGGCGGATAGAGAGGCGAGGATCGATGGAATGGACAGCATGATCCTCTGATCTGCCATCATTTGACCTTTTCTTAAGGGGATATGTCAAAAGTATTGTATACAAAACTAAACCTCTCGACCTAACTGACTTAAGAAGACGAATAACGCGTGCGAGTTTTATTTCAGATTAGGATATTGCCAAGAGGTTCGCGGAGAGCATTTTGAACATCTCCTACATTGTTTTTTTTTTTTGTTATATTATCAAGAAATAAACAGTTCATATATTAGTTTTTGAGTGTGTTGTAACGAATTTCTGTAATCAAATAATTTTATATCATTAATGTTAATTTTGGCAATAAATTGGAAAACATTTAATATTTTCTGAACAGGTATAGGACATAGTACCTACATAAAATATGTCTAGAATTTTCTGAGGATTCCAAAAATTGAAAAATACCTACAAGGTGTTTCATTTAAAATAAGAAAGTTGGTATTGACCACTGTTACATGATACACCCTGTATAAAAAGTTTTTGTTAAAAAATGTGCAACTAAAAATACAAATCGACGTGTCCAAGCGTTTTTCCGAACATGCCTCCATTTATTTATTACCGAATTTATTCCATTTGTATACTTGATTCATGTTGTCTACTTACTCTAGAAATATATTTATAACAGTTAAAAAACAATATAATGCACTCAAAAAAAAAAAAAATACTGTAATTCTTAGTGGAACCATAATTACGTCATCCCTAATTTAGCATATTGGTACTTTGATTTCTTCGTGAAAAATTACACGGGACTGGTATTCGAGGTCCTATGAATTCTTGAATATATTCGTATATTGTCCTGTTTTTACTATTTCTATATAGTTATATATAGTTCTGGGCGAAATACTTTACCGATTTTTTTATCACAAATAATAGTTCAGAATGTTTTATAATGACCAGTAACCTTAGAGAAATTAAATAAGAAAAAACAATTTATTTACCATAATAAAAATACAATTTTTGTTTTAAATAATTACAAATATAGGTATATAAACAAAAATACACACAATTACAGTACAGTACGACAAGATTGAGATGGCAAGTCAGAATTAGATGCGTACTGGTCAACATTCAAAATATATAAATTTGGCAACACAGCGCTAGTGCACACAAATAGATCACAGAAACAATAGCATTCATTATCTGAGATAACTCCTCCCATTTTTAGTTTTGCCAGTGCGTATCTATTTCCGACTTGCCATCTAAATCTTGTTGTACTGTATATGTAGGTATGTATGTTAGATTTTATTAATTATTACGTCAAATAATTATGTAGTTACAAAGTTAATTACATATAAAATACAATGCCAAACGCAACAACAGCTGATCACACTAGACGCTCAAGGCGACTCAAATCGTTCTGCATGGAGGAGCGCTGACGACGGTCCGCTACTACCACATCAGTTCCCCACAGTCCCCGCTCTTAACTGCCGCTATTCTTTACCGTACTACAATTTACAAAAATTTGTTTACCTGCTAACATGTATGTATGTATGCATGTAGATATGTCGCATTTGGGTTCAACTCCATGTAAACCAGAACCTGTTCTCTTACTTCTAGCTCTAACCTAAATACTAAATTGATGTTATCCCAAGTATGACAAAAAAAAAATGAAATCTTCCGTCGACTCGCATGCGTGAGGATGAGATACTTCCGTATTTACTATTTTTTATATCTCCAATAATAAAACTGCTGTCAAGTAAATACGCACTAATGGGAGACCCGACGGCGTTCAACAAATGATTAAAAATTTCTAATTTTGTCTTAGAAACCAATTAATTTCACACGTTACACTGTTAAAGTCATGAATAATACCAGCCATATTTCTTTGCGGTTGTAAAATAGAAGCTGATTTAAACGTATCCAGTATTTGGTGCCAGTCTCACTGGCATGAAAGTTATTGGCTGGCAAAGCGCTTGACCCAGGTCGATTACACGAGTCCAGTCAGTCGTGAGTTTTCGATTTCTCAATTTTATCGACTTCTAAATAGTATGTACTTTTAATTTAATTTTTTATTTATTTAATCGTAAACCCTTCAATACCCATCTCTTTCTCAATTAGTTGTAGAGCTGATGAGTCGCATCGGATATTCCATAAGCTATCTTGTTCTCTATACATTGTATCAAAGAAACACAAAAAGAAACTCAATAAATTCAATGTTCAACATTCTTAGGTGTGGTGGCGCGACTGTCGTCGACGTGTTCAGACGTTGTCTACAACACTGGCGCTAGTGTTACGGGTTACGGGAAGATGCTGGTATGAAAAATAGACACACTCTATTCTCTCCAGTGCTTGCGACCAGCGCTGGACTGGCACAAAAAAGTGTTCACACGGTGCCACTAATATGCCAGTGCTGGCAAGTTAGTGAGACTGGCGCCAGCTACTGGATACGCGTAAATAAATCGGTCTTAGGATCAAATAAGCCTTCGCCGATGCCATACTAAAGCTTGAATGCTATTTAGATGGTGATTGTACCGCTTGAAGCATTTTGATTAAAATTTGTGAGGTTACGTTGTTATTATAATGTTTTAGATTTTCTCCATGACAATATTGACCATTACCCGTTCATTAAACAGTAATTTTTCTTGGAATTTCCAGCCAAGTTCTGAGATCGATAGGTATGTCCCCTATATTCTCAGGTTGGCAATATTCAGTGCAGTTTTTGGATTTTATGGCCATTTAAAATCCAGATTAGTGTCAATATAAGACTTAAAAGCATTACATGAAGCATTTATATATGCAATAAATATAGTTAAAATGCCAATTAGCCGCGTATTAATTGGCATTTAGAAAATCAATTATTTCTATTGTTTGACATCTGTTTGTGACGCCTAATTGGTTGTTGTATTTAGCAATCAAGGCGATATGACAGGTC